GTGTGGGGGCGGGGCGGGAGTGGGCGAAGATCCCCGGGCCCGGCCGCGGAGGGTTGGAAGGTGCGGGGGCGAGAGCGGCGAGGCTGGAAACGACTCCGGTGGGGATGCCGGGGTCGCCCCCTGCAGCAGACTCCCCCTGCACACACTCACACGCACCCCCGCCGGGCCGCTGTAGACGTGTCCTTGAAAGCTTCGCATCTGCACAGTGAAGGACGAGGCCTCGCGGAGGCTGCGGATCGGGGGTCTCGGTCCCCACGTTGCCCACACCTCAGGAGACCCCGAGCCTCAGAGCGGCGCCGGCCGCAGTCCATGTCCCGCCCTCACCCGGGCTCCCCACTCCAGGCCGTCAAGCCCTCCCTCCTCGTTGGCGCGGACCGGGCTGGCATGTGTCCAGGGCCCGCCCCCGGCCTCCCCCAGCCCCTCTTCGCGGGGCCCGCGGCCCTATGGCTGCCAAACTTCATTTTGCTTTCCTGGAGCCTGCTTTCTTGGGGGCACCCTCTCGCTTCGCTCCCCCCTCAGTTGCTTCTCCATTTCTCTGCATCCCCTCCTCTCCTCCGCAAAGCCAGCTGAGTAGGTGTGAGCACCCTGGGTGGGAATAGGTTCCCACTGGGTCTCAGGGTTCCCTTCTCGGGCTCCCAAGGGGAGCCCTCCGTGGCTGCACCTTGACCCAAGATGGCGTCTTGCACCCAGCTGGGCAGTTCTGGCCTGCACTGGGGAGGAAGGGCGGGCTGGGGACCGCACAACTGCACTCTCTCAAACTAGAGGGGACAGGAGCCTTCGGGGAGGAGTATCCTCAGCCTGGTGACCCAGCTTGCCCCTCGGTGCTGTGCCCAGAGACTGCCATCAGCATCCCCTGGGGACAGTTCGGTCTTCATGTTTCACCCAGGGCTGCCAGCGGCTGAACCTCCTCCTGGGCAGGCAGGCGGGCAAGCTGCGCAGGGATTCAGGGATCAGGTGCTGCTCCGCTGTGCCTCCTCCCTCCCAGGCAGATGTGACAGCTGCAGCCTGGGGAGCTATTCTTGCGTTGCTGGGGTGTTAGGACTGGCCTGTGGGATTTGGGAAGCCCAGCTGCCAGACGGACCCTCTTTGGACTATCCCCTATGTTGGCAGGAGCCATTTGCAGGTAGTTAGGGCAGTCGCTTGCCTTTGGATAGTTGGGTTGTGGAAGTTCCTGTGGGCTTTTAGGCAAGCCGACTAGTCTCCTCTACTTCTGGGTCTCATTAAGGCCGTGATGGAGCTGTTGACAGGTAATGATGTCAGAGTGTCCATTTGTGTCTGGGGGCAGGGGTTGGTAGGGGCCCCAGGCCGAATTGTGTCATAGGTCTGGCACCTGCCTTCTTCACTTTCGTGAAGCCCCTTCTCCTGCAGGCCCTGCTGCTTCCTGGTGCTTTATCTTCAGCTCCCCTCCCCCATGCAGTCTGCAGCTCCTGATTCCCGGGCTCACGGTGGCCCAGGCTTTCTTGTGCTTGCCTTGAGCCTCACCTGAGGAAAGGTGAATCCCCTTTAGACTCAAGGAATGAACATCCCAAATGCTAGGGCTGCCTTCCACACTAGAGGAGCCTAGAGAGGCGCCCATGGCCATCTGTCAGTGTGTCTGCAGGCGGGATTCCTCTGTGGTGGGGGTTGATGACGCTTGAAGGCCCCATTCCAACTTTGAAATTCTGTGGCTCCAGGTTTCCTGGTGGAATTTCAGACCCAGAATAGGGATAGGCTGTTCTGTCGTCGTCCCCCACCCCCCACAGTAGTGGTGGTGGAGAAGGTTTCTTAGTTAGAGAAGGTGGGAGAGAGTAAGAGCCTGCCAGGGGTTGGGCTTTGGCAGAGAGGGCCGGGATGGTATGTTGGTCTGACTGCCGAGTGTGTAAGACACAGCTTCCGTGCAGCCTTCACACGTGGTGCGCTCCTGAAGGTGTGCGGGGAAATTTGCAAGGGTCTCTCCCAGCCCAATCTCTCACAAGTCCCTCAGTCCTTAGGGACATTCCACGATCATTTTCATGCCCCTTTCTGCCATTCCTCTTCTCAACAAGCCAGCAAGGGACAAGATGAGCTGAAGGTGATCTGCCTTATCTGGAGTATGCTGGGTCTTCTGTTGGACATTTAGTGGGGCTCCCGTGAGGGTAGTGCCCCACTCTCTCCCAGGTTGTTGCTCTCCTAGCCTTCTGTGGTTGGTGGTGAGTCCAGTGGTCACTCATTGTCTGCTTATAGACCACCTGGAGAGCGCAGTCTCCCAGAGACCCAAGTTCTTTCCCAGATTCCCTCAAGACTCCTGTTTGAGGGGGCCAGATAGAAAGGGGAGACTCAGCACAGCCTTGACTTTCAGATGGGTGGACCCCTTCTAAGATGTTAGCAGTGATGCTCCAGTGCTTAGGATCGTGGGTGGGAAGAGAGCCCTGAGGACACTTAGGAGCTGGGTTGGGGGCTATCTGGGTGAGGCCATGCCCAGTTCCTCTCATGGCTGCCTTTTCCAGGGTCTCCATCACCACCTCCTTCCCTCTGATGGTTGAGTGTGTTTGGCTTGTAGAAGTTAGAGCTAGGATGTGGGCCTTGGGGGAGTTGTTTCTCCCTCCATTTTAGTATCTGGTGGATACCAGAAGCCATCAGCTGCCTCAGCAAGGCTGGGTTTCTGCAAGGACTTTGCTGCTCTGGACCAGGGCTTTAATAGTAGATTAAAGGTACCAGGTGCTTTTCCATCAAGGTACCAGGTACCTTTTCATCATCCCTCCCCCCCTGAGATAGGGTCTCGCTGTGTAGTCAAGGCTGGCCTGAATTGATCTTCCAGCCTTTGCCTTCCAAGTGCTGGTATTACAAGGAGGGAACTTTAAGGACTTATTTTGGGTCATTTGTCTTAAGTTTCTTTTATTTTTGAAATCACTCTTAATCCACTCTGGTCTCAAACTCCTGTGCTCAAGTCGCCATCCTTCCTCAGCCTCTCTCGTACCTGGGCTGACGTGTGTATCTGGCTTTATTTGTCTTGGTGATTATATTGTCCCCTAAGAAATGAAACTGAGTTCCCAACATGCAAGCCTTTTCCCGAGAGATGTGTGCCGTGACCGAGCTGCCTCCATTTCACTAATTGTGTGGGTCAGATGGGGTCCACGCTGTGTCTGTGGATTTGTGCCGATGTGTATGGCCAGACAGCCTGCTGTATGTGTGCCGATTTCGGTGCTGTGTAAGCGAGGGTCCTGGAGTGACGAGGAGGTAACTGCTGGCTCCCAGGATGGGTGGCAGAGTCACCATCTTAGCCCAGGGTCAGTGAATGTGTGGGTTGCTGTCACTGCTCTCTGCATGTGGGTCTGCGTGGGAGGGGGGGTGTTTTGAGAAACCCCGCCCACTTTCCTGCTTCTTTGACAAAACCTGGGTGAGCATTGCTGACGCTGCTTAGAAATCTTGGCAGGCTGTCCCAGTCTCACAAATGGCTCTGTCAACAGGTTGCCCGAGCACCTCCAGTCCCTCGAGTTAGCTCCAGCATTTTGTTCATCCCCTGGCTTGAGTCTGGTAGCATTTTCCCTCTGTGTTTGCTTCCTCTTGCCTGAGATTTTATTTGCTGGGCATTTCCTGTGAGCCCGGCCGTGGGCTCACTTTGCGGAGATGCCGTATTGTGGAGTACCCAACTAATTAACAGCCGCAGGGTGCTGGGGAGGGAGGTCACTGCCCATTGAGGGGTGAAGATGGGCTTCTAGGAGGAAGGGGCAGTACCTAGTGACAGCCCAGGATTGACATGTGTGGTGGGCGGGGGAGTGGGGAGGTGGACTCGGACATGGGAGGCGCCGGAAGCTTTGCTAAGGCTTCCCAGTAGTTTGGGGAGAGGGTCTCTGCACTTGGTAACTCTTGTGTGTGCCCCTGGAGAAATGCCCTAAACCTCCCTGCAAGGGGTGGGGTGTGTGGAGCAGGCTGGGCCAGCTGAGCCCAGGCGGTGCAGGATCTCAATTCTTCATTCCGTAGACTGGGGCTTAAGAGCTCAGACTTCAGGACAGGAAGGCCAGAGTCCAGTTGCATAGCCCCAGGGGGTCTTGGCAACAAAGGGAAGGGCAGGCCGAGGTCCCTCAGTGCTGCCACTGATAGCTACAGCCATGTGGATTTTAGGCAGAAGTCCCTGTTCTGGTGTCCCAGAGGTCCCTACATCCCCTGCTGCCCATGCTCCAGGCAGACCCTTCAGCAGGTGTTTCGCCTCTACAGTCCTGCATTGCCTTTCCCCTCCTTCCCCTACCAGGGAGATGCCTAGTCAGCTAGCTCAGCGCCAGCAGGTGTGGGTGTTGCTCCACAGTCAGTGGGGGCCCAGGGCCCTCTAACT